AGTTGAAGGAAAAGATGGCAAGTACTTGTTGAACTGCATTTATAGCTGCACCTAATGCTATAAAGGGCCTGTCTGCTTCCAGGCTTATGAAGAAGGCCAGCAGTGTGGTGGAACACTCATCATTAGCTTTCTCCAAATACTCTAAGTAATACTTTTATTATGCAATTTGTAGAAAATGGGTGTTCAGGAAAGAGATAAAACGAAAGTAAAGGCTTTTTCCATAGGAGTGGGTGTTTAGGTTTACCAGGAGGGAGAGAAAGAGATCAAAGAAGCAGTCTTTAGTGCATTATTAGGACATAAGACTTCAGACCAATTTTTATGGATTTAGAATGTCTTGCTTGTTTTTCCACATTTTACTTCTGCCTTCCACTGAGACAGTAGCACTGACATTTGATTGGCTTTTAAAGAGAATCATTATCTTTTTTGAAGTCCTATAGCAGGAAACCACTGGGGATGTTTTCCTTAAAACAATCCATTTATAACAACCCCTATCTACGGACAGTGCTTTGAATGGTGATCCAATAACACTCTTCAATCCAAACCTCATTGCTGGGACAAGAAAGTTTACGAACTTATAACATTACTGGTTGTTTTGTCTCCAGAGCATCAAATTATTTTTGCCCGTGCAAGAGGTGCTTATGAATACCAATACTGGTTTGGATTTGTTCTTTCCAGCTCTCTGAAGTCACTGAGAACCTGACTCGTGTCTCAGCTGAGTACAGTGACCTCCTGGCAGAAAAGCAACAAACTGAAGGGGCAATGAGTGAGCAAGTGTGTCAGCAGCTTGAGAGAATCACTTCACTTAACAAGGAGAAGGAAGAGCTTCAGCAAATGGTAGAGACTTGTAAAGAAAGGGAAGAACACTTGTTGAAGGTTCAGAGGCAATCAGAGATATCGGCAGACAGCCTGACAAGCAAGGTGAGGACTTTTGGTGTTTAGTCACTATTTTGTGTTCTGATGTTTTATTACTCATATGCTAAATTTTTGCACAAACTTTTTTATTTTTGTTCTCGGCAGATCAGCTTTATGGCTGGCAAAGAAACATGAACACGGGCAAAGGATTTTTTCTACATGTCTTTATTGATATCTTGTAATAACATTGTCTACTGATCTCAGCCTTGTAACCCATTGGATTGGTCTAGCTTTGGAAGGAATGTGAATTTATCATCTGAGTGTATTTTTAATATAATAACCAGTAATTGACCATGTCTTTGAACTTTTAAAATGGCACTTTGTAGACAGCATGAACCTAACTGGGTTTGGAATTCTTGGTGCTTTGCACACTTTCTGAATATCAGGCCATCAATGTTTGCAAGTCTTGCACTTGGTTCTGGTCAACTCATGCCTTTCATAGTGTTTGCTTTGCAGCTTTTCACCAGACAAATTTTTCCTTTGTAGATCAAAGAGTATAATTGACAATTGCTTCAGTTTGGCAAATATTACTTTCCAGTAGAGGAAATATGAAGAAATTGTCCATTTTTTTAATGCTCATCTTCTGTTTACTTTAATTTTTTTATGAAATAGACATAGGTTGATTGATTGCCTTTTCCTTTGATTCCACTTGCTTTACAGAAAACCAAAGCTGACTGATGTACACTTTTTGGGTGTCATGCTGTTCCTCTTCCTTGTTAATTTTTTTCTAAATTAAATTAAAATTATTCTTAAACTTATATTTTGCTAGTGTGAATTTTAGTAACTAAGAATTGTGATTTTTGTATGACACAAGTGATTTGACTACTTCATAGGGTGTATAAAGACTGCAACCACCAAATGGTGATTTGGCTTTTTCTCCACTCTTCATTGCAGATTCAACAGTTAACCAAGACACTAAATAGTGTCTCATGTGAGAAGGACCAGTTATTAGCTGAAAGTAATAGGCACTCTTTACAACTTCAAGAACAAATCTCATCAGTGAATCATGAAAAAGATGAGCTTGTTTTTGAAGAGGTCCTACAGTCCAAACAGCGGGACCAGCTCAAGACAGAATTGCAAAGAAATTCTGAGATGGTGAGTGCTGCAATTTGCATACCTGAGTTATTCACAACTTCTTGTCTCAACTGGTACTTAAATATGTGTTTTTATTTTAGTGTGTTGAAACAAAGGCAAAACTGGAAGATGCTTTAGAACAACTGAAGCAGAGAAACCTGAACAATATGTCCATTCAGGTGAACACAGTGGGTATTGCAGAGCGGGTGGCCGATAACAGCTTGACAGAAAAAACCTTGAAAATTAAGGTAAGCTTATTTTTCTGTTTGTTTTAAGGATGCGTATAGAAACTTAATGACACTTGTCATGGAGAATAAGGCTTTTGTGCATTATCTATTAAATGGTTTGCATATCTTGCTGAGATGCTGCGTACCATGTGATAGTTGATTTGCTGTTGTTGTTCAGTGATTGCTCATCAACTTAATGTTCACAGAATATCTCACCTGCTTCATTACTGTCCAGCCACCCCAGTGAAAATAACTAGTCATGTAGGATCATAAAATCATTTAGGTTGGAAGAGACCTCTTAGATTACAGATTTCAACCCTTAAATCAGCATTGCCATGATCACTGCTAAACTGTGTCCCTAAGTGCCCACGTGCTGTTACTGTTACTATCTTTTGAAATAACTGCTCATAACTGGTTGATTAATATGTCTCAATAGGCTATGAAAGTAAAAATTCAGAAGTTAGAAAATGTAATAAATGAAGTAGGAGACAGTGTCAAAGAGAGAGATGAGAAGATAAGCAAGTTACAAGCACAGATGAGAATAAGAACAGAGACAAGTGAGCTCACCCAACTGCAAGCCAAACTGAATGAGATGGATAATTGCCTCA